ATTCTAGATGGTAAAATATAGTTTTATACATCGTTTTATGCTTGGCAAGCTGGTCCTGCCCATTTATATGGGCTAAGTATATAACAAAACTGTCTGTACCAATGTGGATAGTACCAATATGAAATTGCTGTGCTGAGTAGTTATATTACTACCTGAAATAAATGAGCAGAAACTCAGTGTTTCTGCTCGTTTATTTTGGGTAGTGAAACCTGCCTGTGGCGAGATACTGCCTTGTATATTAATGCTCGTTTAATTCAGGTAGTGGTACCTGCCTGTGGCGAGATGCTTCCTCGTATATTAATTTTATATATTTTTGGGATTGCATTCACATGAACCAAGCCTGGTCAAATTGATTGGCCCAGCTTCTGCTTGAGCAAGTTGATATCCTGTGCTGGAAGTCTCACAATTATATCTGTGCTGGTACTGTATTTTGATCTTCAGCCACCAAGGCATCAAAACATTCCACACATTTTATGGTCAGAATAAGTTGCTTCACTATATACCCTCTGATGTAACCAAACACATTATCACGCCATACTGACGGAGCTGTCAAGCAATCTCACAATCCTCTTGTCAGGTTCAAGCTCTTTCTCTAGTTTGTCTTCAGTAATATGTTTGCAGTTACCAGTTGTTGGTGCATTTATTTGATACTTTTGCAGCAGTGTTTGTAATGCCCATTTAAATTGTAATGCTGTGGGACTGTTATTCCATCCTAGTCGACTTTGGATGTTGCTAAAAAAACATCTATCTGATATTGTGAGAAGCGGTAAGTGAGAACATAGTCATATTTTTTGCCATTCATTTCCAGCAGTTTTGTTGCTATTGCAAAGATGGATCTTGATGACACTGCAAATCCTAAAATAAATGTTTTTCTGGGACCATGAACTAATTTTACCCCATCTTTGTCTTCAGGTTTTTGAAGGTAGTCATTGAAATAATTTAGGTACTCTTCCAAGCCATCGATATTTTCCAGTGTAATTGGACTCCGAGATGCCTTCCAAATTTGCTTTTTGAATTTAAAATGTCAAATATATTGCTAATGTATTTTAACAAATTGGGACATTTCACTGCTATTTTGAAACTTGGGTATGCCAATTAACTGTAAATATCCCATACCACATGCTAATGAGTTGCTCAGTGTCTGTGCTGCAACTGCCACTTCCATCTTGACATTGTGCCAATGAATGTGTTTGCTCTTTAGCTTATTGCCAAGGTGCAAAATATCATCCTTCTGCATGTTATATAGTTAGGTATAAAGTCCCAGAAAATTAGTGGCTCGCTATTGATATAAAATACTCCTAGGGCATTTCTTGCTAACTTCAAGATGTGGCAAACATCGAGTATCACATGAATCATTTTGTTTGGTCTAGCTGGATGTGGAAATGTCCTGTCAAATGCATTCAACTTACATCCAAGATGTCTTGCTGTTGCCATGTTTTTGGTGCAACCATCAAATATTACCACAGGGGGTCCAACTAACAGCTGTGTTATGAATAAAACATATTAATTAAACGTAATATGAATAAAACATCATAACGTAATATTGCACTTACTTGTATAAATCATAAGAGCTTGCATTTTAATACAGTGAATAGCTTCAAAAACTTGCTTCGTTCCAAAGACTTCAAATATGGCGAATAAATTGACAAAACGATAATATTACATGACGTTCCAACGAAAATAACAGAAAGGATTGCGGGCGCGAGCGGAAAGGCGAGAAAGAAATAAATAGAAGGGATGAAACAAATATCACGTGACTTTTTTAAATGCTTCTAGACTATCCGTTTAAGCTTTTTGTGGGTTTTTTAAGGCTCAGTCGATGTTCTCTTACATGAACAAGCCTAGTCATTACCAAAAAAGCACTGATCAATCTAATTTATGTGATTTATAACAGCGAGCATTCTTGGCCATTATCGCGAGATGTGTTCCATAAGTAGCCTGTTCTCGTGACGTATGACGAAATAATAATAAAACTAAATAATGTAAAAAAAAACGTTGGTCGCTACATTTAAACATTTCATATTAGCCGGTATAGCTAAACATTGTTTATTTTCATTAATTAAGCGCGTAGGCGTTGTTGGAGTTGGCAGGAGGCGTTTTGGAATTTTCCGAGAGAACAGGCTACTTATGGAACACATCACACGATCGCATTACCGGTGTTTCATCCCTTCTATTAATATCTATTACCCTCGCCTTCCGCTCGCGCCCGCAATCCTTTCTGTTATTTTCGTTGGAACGTCATGTAATATTATCGTTTTGTCAATTTATTCGCCATATTTGAAGTCTTTGGAACGAAGCAAGTTTTTGAAGCTATTCACTGTATTAAAATGCAAGCTCTTATGATTTATACAAGTAAGTGCAATATTACGTTATGATGTTTTATTCATATTACGTTTAATTAATATGTTTTATTCATAACACAGCTGTTAGTTGGACCCCCTGTGATATTACAGCATGTACATCCAAGTTGTTTAACGCCAACTGCCATAATAACAAAAGCATTCTGTGCTGGATGATACTACAGCTCTAGAATTAATCCCAAGGAACTCGATGAGCCTGACTAATATAGTAGTGGATAACGTTAATGATTTTGCTGAAAGCAATCATATGAAACTTGACCCTAAGAAATGCAAGGAGATGGTAATACCACTATCGAAACAGTAAAGAAATACAAACTTCTTGGAGTTATTTTAACAGATGATCTCAAATGGAAGTACCATGTTGCCTATATATATGTAAAAGATTATACTCTCTGCATATACTGCGTAAAGCCAGTGTTGAAACAAACAAGATGTTGAAGGTGTATTCTGTGATTATAAGACTGATACTGGAATATGCAGTGCCGGTTTGGCAAGCTATACTGGAGTATCTCTCGCACAAAATTGAGCCGGTCCAGAGAAGAGGTCTAAAAATTATTAAACCTTGAGAAGAGAGCTATGACGAACTGTTACGAATGTTCAACATGGAGAAATTACAGGGCAAGACGTGAAAAATGATGTAAACAATATATGGATAAAATTAAAACTCAAAATCACCTTTTGAGTGCATTAATACCACATCCATGTAATAGAGAACATAAATACTATTAACTATTACAGATACTTTTACGCAGACATCTGAATTAGCTTTTAATAGAATAGACTCGCTGATTTGACCATTAACTGTTACAGATAGTTTTATGCAGATCTTTTAATTAACTTTTTAATGTATATAGTTTAAAGACCTAGACTCGTTAATTCAGCCTGTAAATATTTTACAAACTGCAAAAGAGTTCATTAAACCTACATTATTATAACTCCGAGCCTATAGAGCTCGCCTCCAAACTATTTAGAAAAACTCCGAGCTTATAGAGCTCTGCTCCCAGCCAATAGAGCTTGGCTCCGAGGCGATGGATCTCGGCTCTGAGGCGATGGAGCGCGGCTCCGAACTATTTAGAAAAACTCTGAGCTTATGATACTCGGCTCCGGGCCAGGCTGCGAGCTATTTAGACTAGGCTCCGAGGTTTGCCAGCAATGTTGCTCATCTTATTTTATGGTCTACGCCCGCATAATAAATCTATCCGCTATAATCCCTCAATGCCTGCAAAACCACACGCCTGATTTTGATGTAATAAATAATCCCTATCTATCCATAATAAGCACTTAAGAGATTAAACGTTTGCTTGCAACCCATTAATGACTGTGAATGACTTTGACGGTATATTTTTAGAGACCCACAAATGACAAAATTTCTATATATCTTGTACATAATCTCTAATAACTCTCTGTTTGTTAGTATTTTTTGTCTCAAGCTCGCTGGGTGTATTTGTATGTATCCACACTGGTAGCCGGGGGTTAATCACTTTTTAATGACTCTGTAAAATGCAAATATTGACCATAACAACGGCATTGACAACCATGTTAATTTGGGCTTAGCAACTAGTTCTGATTTTTTCTGTGTTAGTTTATTATTCCTTGTTTAATAGTCCTAAACATGGTGAGTGTATCTCCAGGGGAAGCCAATGATAGAGTTAAAGTAGTGGACACTCTAATCTAATAAAACCTTGTAATATGATATTTCAAATACACCTTTTATACTCTATTTCTATTGTCATTTATGATTCTTAAATATATCTGGTTTCAATTCTTTCATCTTTAAATCATCTTTGCCTCAAACTTATATGAATAAGACAGCATATAATGTAAGTGTATTTTTATTAATTACCCTTTTTTGTATCTTAAAATATTTAAATAAAGAGAAAAATCGGTTGGAGTCAGTTTATTTCAATTTTCAAACTCAATGTTTACTGATAAAAGGTAGTTAAATTTTAAGCCCATTTTAAAACATTTTGTGAAGTGTTTTGACTGTGAAAGCACATGATTAAGACTGGTTATGGACTATAAAATTCCTTAAATTTACATTCCTGAAACTCAACGATCAAGAAAGATTGTTGAAGTACAGCTATCTGTTATCACACAAACACCGAGACTCTTCCGTGTGTGCAGTACAACTTGAATATCTAGGACGATATATGCACACCAGACACTGGTATTGTACTTTATAGTAAATTATATTTTAAGATACTCACCTCAATTTAACAATGCATTGTCTTTATTAAATCACTCCTTTTCAAAAATAACAGTGAATCTTTAAAGTCTAACTATAACAAAACAAGATAACGTATCCATCACCATGTCCTCTCAAACCGCTGGCTCAGGATCTCCTTGGCGTCTTTTTTGTTCACTCCTCGATGATGGCAGAGCCAGAAATTGTTGTAGTGTCGGAAATTGAAGACAATCCTTCACATCCTTAAGCATCCAACCATGAAAGTCAAGTTGAAGGTATGCATCCTAATCCCAGTCAACTCGTTCAGGCTATTGTGGCCGATCGAGGCTTTATTTCCATGTTATCCTCGGCAATATTGTCGAATATCGGCCCACAGTTGAATAAAAGTCAAGATGACTCCAATATAAATAGGGCAGTTTCAAGCCCAATACAAACTGTAAATCCCGGAGTATCGGATGAACGATCAAACGGGTATGTTAAGCAATCAGATAAATCCCGAAGTATCGGACGATCAAACAGGTTCTGCAAGTGTTAAACGGACAGCAGAAGTTTCTGCCGATTCCAAAGGCGAAGCCATCATTCCGTCAAAGCGACCTCGTGGTCCAAATACATTTGACGAAAGCGCAGAGGAAAATGATGTCGAAACTGTCGTGATCGACGACAAATTTACTTCCCCTAACTCCCGTTGGGAGGCTCGTGAGGAACTGAGTACATTTCTTGGTACTACTAACAAGCGAATGAACAAATTTGATCGTAAGACTTTGGTAAAATCATACCCGCGACCAGATGTCGACGAGGTTTACACGCCTGCCATGGATGACTTCTTGAAGCCATTTATTCAAGGCATTATGGCTCCTGATAAACCCCACAAGGATTTGCAGGACAATATCCTGGATATGTTTGGCCCACTTTGTACCATATACGAGAATTTGTTGGCAATGTTGGATAGTATTGGCAGTGATGGGATAATTCAGATGGATAAGACAAGTGTCAATAGTTTCTTATCTTGTGTGAAGCATGCTCTGCTTCTTGTGGGCGACGCGTCGGCTGGAATTAGTGTTACCCGCAGAGAGTTAGTGTTGAAGAAGATTAACCCTCTGATGGCGTCTATGGCCCAGGAGCATTTCCCCGACGCAAAACGTCAGCTCTTTGGACCTGGGTTTGAGCAGAGGTTAAAGACCCAGTCAGAGACTGCGGATACAATTGCAAAGGCTTCCAAAGTGGCTACTGCTGGAAGTGTGAAACCGTTTTTTCGTGGGATGGCCTTCAGGGGAAGACCAACATCTCGTGGAGGCCGCCAGTTTCAATCGACCAGACCATTTCGCCCGTTCTTCCAACGAGGAGGGGTTTCAGAGGGGTTCCAGTAAGACACCCACAGTTCCCAAGGTTCTCAAGCCCTCAGCAACAATTCAGAACCTTGTTGCATCAATGAGTGGTCGCCCCAGCAATCTACCAGCAGGTATGTTTTTAAATTATTTTATAACCAATTTACCGCCAAACATTCCTCCGACAGGTCGGCTTGTATTTTTTCTTCCTGTCTGGAAAAGAATAACACAAGACCCATGGGTCTTGCAAGTAGTACAAGGGTATCAACTGGAGTTGTTATCAACCCCAGTTCAGCAGAGTTTGCATCCTCCCAGAGTATCTCTAAGTCATCAAGCAGTTCTGAATCAGGAAGTGCAGGCCTTGCTAGACAAGAGGGCTGTTCATCAGGTTCAGAACAACGACTCAACAGGTTTCACAAGTTCTTTGTTTGTCGTTCCCAAAAAAGATGGAGGGAACCGCCCGGTAGTGAACTTGAAACCCTTAAACCAATTTTTAGTGTACGAACACTTCAAGATGGAGGGGATTCACATGTTAAGAGACCTCCTAGGGGAAGGGGATTATCTAGTAAAGATAGACCTCAAAGATGCTTACTTGACAGTTCCAATTTGGAAAGGTCACCAGAAATACTTGCGCTTTCTATGGAAAGATACAATGCTCGAGTTTGCATGCCTTCCCTTTGGACTGGCCACAGCTCCCAGGGTCTTCACAAAATTGATGAAACCTGTGGTGGCCATGTTGAGACAGAGGGGGGTGCACCTAATTATTTATTTAGACGACATTTTGATTATGGCGGAGTCAGAAGATCTAGTGCTCCACCAAGCTGCTTCGACCCTGAATCTCCTAGAATGTCTGAGGTTTGTACCAAGCCAACAGATAGAATTTTTAGGTTTTCTTATAGATTCCGTAACTATGTCGCTCCAATTACCAGGCGAGAAGTTACAAAAAATCAGAAGCAGTGTCGGCAAGTACTAAACCTAGAGCAGATCTCACTTTGCGAATTATCAAAATTCTTGGGCCTGTTAACCTCTTCTATCCAGGCGGTATTTCCAGCCCCCCTTCACTACAGGCACCTTCAGGTTTGAGCACCCTGAATTCATACGAAGCATTAGTCATGCTCAATCCTCAAGCAAAGGAGGAAATTGTTTGGTGGAGAGACCACCTTCAGAGTTGGAATGGCCGGGCACTGTTTCACAAGCCAGTGGACTTAATTATCGAAACAGATGCGTCCCGAAAAGGTTGGGGGGCATATTGCGAAGGGGTAAGTACGGGAGGCCCTTGGTGTGCAGAAGAAAAAAGGCTTCACATAAATTGCCTAGAGCTTCTTGCAGGGTCCTTTGCCATCAAAACATTTTGTAAAACCAAAGTGGTAGCACATGTCAAACTGCTGATGGACAACACATCAGCAGTGGCATACATCAACAAAATGGGAGGGACCCATTCCCAATCATTAGCCAATTTGGCAATAGATTTATGGACATGGTGTCTCGAGAACGAGATTCAGATGTCAGCAGAACATCTTCCAGGGGTTCTGAATGTAAGAGCAGACAGGGAATCCAGGGCAGTGATAGATCCCAGCGACTGGAAATTGAATCCAACCCTGTTCCAGGCACTTTCACAGAAATGGGGGCCTTGGAGGTAGATCTGTTTGTGTCTCGACTGACATGCCAATTACCACAGTTTGTGAGCTGGAAACCAGACCCATGGGCCATTCAAACCGATTCCTTTTTAATGAATTGGGGGAGAATCAAAGGGTATGCAATTCCCCCATTTGCCTTAATCGGTCGATGCCTGCGCCAGGTAATGTCCCAGAGGGTAGAACAGTTAGTTCTAGTGGCTCCTGTATGGCCAGCACAGCCCTGGTACCCAGTACTATTGCAATTAGCAGTAGACCTGCCTTTCCTATTTCCGACGTTTCCAGAGCTTTTAATGAAAGACAATCGGACTCATCATCTGACCAGTCTTCAACTAGGTGGGTGGCTGGTGTCAGCCAACGCTATCAGGCAGCAGGTATTTCAGGGGAAACTCGAGACATTTTATTGGCGGCATGGCGAAGAAACACCTCAAGTTCATACTCTTCTGCCTAGAACAAATGGGTTAGCTGGTGTTGTCAACGACAAATTAATCCCCTTTCAGTTCCAGTGAGTTCTGTTCTGGAGTTTTTAAAAGACCAGTTTCACGAGGGGAAAGCATACAGGACTCTGAATGTTTACGTTCAGCTTTATCTTCCATATTGCCGGAAGTAGACGTGAACCGAGTTGGTTCACACCCTTTAGTTACTCAATTGTTAAAAGGGATTTTTCAGTTACGCCCTCCTGAACCCAAGTATTCTTTTACTTGGAATGTGTCTGAAATTTTGAAATTTATTAAGTCATTGGGTAAGAATGAGGAATTAGATCTGAAACTTCTATCATTTAAGTTAGTTATGCTTCTTGGTCTGACTGCACCAGATCGATCTTCTGATTTGGCAAAAAGAGATTTGAGGTATCGTACCTTTCGACCAGAAGGAGTATCTTTTATTCTGCCTGGTCTGTCTAAGACATCAAGACCAGGAGATACTCCTAAAGTTAGTTTTCATTCTGCATTTCCGGATGACTTTGATTTATGTCCCGTGGAGTGTCTTAAGTTTTATGAGGTTAAAACTAGGGAATTTAGGCCTAGTGATATTTCTGTGCCCAACAAATTGTTTCTTTCATACATTTGTCCTCATAATCCAGTGACCTCTTCTACAGGGTGTATAAAAAAAAACTGAACAGATTTGAAATTGCTCTCAATTTCGCAAAACACCTATTTGTATCTGGTTTTTTATATACATAGCTTCTTTGGGTACTTATAATGTAAAATAATGAAAAAAATTTCTCGAACTCAAATTTTGTGAACCAGGGGGGTGTGTATTTTCCAACAAACTAAAAATGGCTCGCGCACAAAATTTAAAAGCTGTAATAATATTTTGAGTTGATAGATTGAAAATTTGTCGGGTTTTTAATTACTGTACAAAATTTCAGACAACTTGGTTTAGTTTAAGCCCTTTAACAATTCATTTTGTTCTAAAAAGTCAGCCTTTCGCATGCTTAATTAATGCCTTTACCTAATTTGCATATTGCTGACATATGCAAATTAGGCAAATGCATTAATTAAGCATGCAAATAGCTGATTTTTCGGGAAAATTGTAACTTTGCGTGAATAGTTAAGGGGCTTAAACTATACCAAATTGTCTGAAATTTTGTACAGTAATTAAAATCCTGACAAATGTTCCATCTGTTAACTCAAAATATGATTGCAGCTTTTAAATGTTGTGCGCGAGCCATTTTTAGTTTGTTGGAAAAGACACCCCCCCCTGGTTCACAAAATTTGAGTTCGAGAAATTTTTTTCATTATTTTACATTATAAGTACCCAAAGAAGCTATATATATAAAAAGCCAGATACAAATAGCTGTTTTGCAAAATTGAGGGCAATTTTAAATCTGTTCAGTTTTTTTTTATACACCCTGTACATTAGCTAGGTGGATTAAGAATATTCTACAATTAGCAGGTATAGATACTTCTATTTTTACAGCACATTCGTTGAGGGGAGCTTCTACTTCAGAAGCTCTAAATCAGGGTATTTCAATCCCAGAAATTTTAAGTATGGCCAGTTGGTCTCGTTCTTCTACATTTCAGAAATTTTATTATAGGCCACAATTTAAGAGACAATCTCCACTAAAACCGAGCAAAATCGAGAATACGTGGCACATGAGGAAAAATAAAAAATCTTATTTTTTCCAGTGATACTCTAATGTGTACTCAGAAACGTGGTGGGGTTTGTTTTCTGAAATATTATTTTAAAGCCGAAAATTATCAAAACCTCACACATACCCGAGATTCGCGAAATTAGCAAAAAAAATTGTGAGCTACGGCCTCTTGACAATTTCGTTTTTCTCAATTGGCGTGTGATGAAACCTCACCTTTCGTTTTTAAGCATGTTTATAAGATGTTTATAAAGAATGTGGGTCCAATTTGCAATTTTTGAAATGATTTTTCAATGTCAAGACCAGCGTGTAAAAATCGTCTTTTTTTGCGATCCAAAAAATTCTAAATTGTTACACTTTTTGAAAATTAATTTTCTGTATCCGGGAAAACTCCAATTTCCTTGAAATTTATGGAATTTAAAGAGGTATTGTTGCTCTAAAATCTGATGTAAAAATTATTTTGGGGCTTTTTGTTACCGCAGAATTATACTGAATATAATATCGAGAAAATCACAAAAAAACCTTAAAAATCCTCAGACAATTGGGCACCTTGGGCAACTATAGACAGTCGAACCTTAATCATTCTTGCTTGTTTTCTCTTGTTATTGATAGGAAATATAAGACGTAGATCATTTTAAACTAGTTTGCCTATTTCTAGATTAAAATACGCTGTTAAACTCTCCAAGACTAAGATTTCTGCTTCAAATTCTTGTTTCAATTGATCGATCCATGTGCGCTATTTAAAATAAACTCGAAACACTTGTACACTCGCTAGATTCAAGGCTATATATACTTACTATAAACAGTCAATTACTTATATTTGAGCATGTTGTGCTCTAAGCAGTTCAGTTTAAGTGTCAAACTTCGGCCTTATTTTCATTGAAGCCGGGCAAGTTCAGTCATTTAATTAAAGGGACAGGGCCATTCCTAGCGTGATAATCGGGGGTGTATTTTCATACATTCGTCTTCTGCACGACGGATTTCTTTTGAAAGCGATTGTTTTTATGGTAGCGAGCATGAATATATGAATACCCCACCCCCCATTATCGCGTCTAGGAACGGCCCTGTTGAGGGATATGATCGGAAATAGCATGAATATAGAAATTAGATTCCCTTATCTGAAAGAACTTTTAAAATGACGTGGAAAACATTTTAAAGTTTTTTTTTAAATCTCGCTTATTTCTCGACCTTAAGAAAAGCTTCTGTTGTGATGGAGCTAAGCTGTGGAACTGATTACCTAAATGCAATTGGCGCTTATAACGAGGGTCGTACGTCGAGGTCGAGGGTCGAAAATAGTAATTTTTTATCCATTTTAAAAGTTTTACAACCATTTTGAAACCTTCCAAAAGTGGCAAAACAATTAGTTTTGCTCTCAAAACTGAAAAATTTCGCCTACGGCTATAATCTATATGTATACTGAAAGTTTCGCTGAAGAACTATAAGTCTGATGGTTTGATGTTTGAAAGTATACGTATTTTAATATACATCGGAATTTAAAATATACAAACATGGGCGATGATACAAATTTTGCGTTTCGCCAGTGCCGTAGCTAGCTCGATAATTGGGGGGGGGGCAGGTATTCATATATTCGTGTTCACAGACCATAAAAACAATCGATTTCAAAAGAAATTAATAACGCAGAACACGAATATAAGAACATCTGCCTCCCCCAATTATCGAGCTATAGCTACAGCACTGCGTTTCGCTCTCATGAGAAATTTGATTATACTGTACAGTGTGTCCCAAAAAAAAGGCTACCCTTTGAAGTCAAGCGCTAGAGCCGCATGTTCAAATTTGAATGCTTTAAACTCCCTAATTAGCCCTGGAATGCGTAAAACGTTATACAGAGTGTATAAAAAAAACGCAACCTTGGAATTTCCTAAGAAATCACTTTGCAATTCTTAAGCATAAAAGATTTAAGGCCCCTGGGAATTGAAATCGAATTGCTAATAGATCATATTACTGTCATAAAATTTTGACAATTGTGCTATTTTAAATTCCCAGGTGCCTAAAATCTTTTGTCTTCAAAACAATGTCGATTTCTTGGGAAATTCCGAGGTTGCGTTCTTTTTAAACACATTGTACATGTATATTCATGCATCCATTCTGTGTTATTTTAGCGGAACAAATCTCAATTAATTTGCAATGCATGCATAAAAATGCTCTGCTATAACGTTTTATGCATTCCAGGGCTCATTCACGGGCAATAGGACACGTGTAGTGTTGTTAAATAGAAAGTTAGAAATGGTATTATACTTACTCATGCATTATAATTATATTTAAAAGATCAGAATATTCATAACTTCTTATTTTGTTCCATAAATAGTTCTTTAATATTCGAAACAAATTCCATATCTGCTTTGTCTGCCATCGCCATGTTTACTCGTCCCAATCTACATGCTGCACGGCATTGCCGCCCCTCCTGGCAAAATAATAAGCAAGCGAGAAAAATTAAGGAGAAAATAAGAGGGTAGGAACATTGTGGGCGTTTCGTGGGCATGTCATCGTTCTGGGCGAATCGGCTTTCGCAATCTTGTATCACATGACTAATTCAAATCGTCATAGGCGGGAAGCAGCATTACGTCATCCCTACGTCAAATAAAACGTTATAAAACGCGTTGAGGATACGTTTGTGCCATATATGGAAGTTATGGATACGTTTGTGCCATATATGGAAGTGTCACTGCATCCAGCTTATGACAACGATGTTCCTACCCTCTTATTTTCTCCTTAATTTTTCTCGCTTGCTTATTATTTTGCCAGGAGGGGTGGCAATGCCGTGCAGCATGTAGATTGGGACGAGTAAACATGGCGATGGCAGACGAACCAGATATGGAATTTGTTTCGAATATTAAAGAACTATTTATGAAACAAAATAAGAAGTTATGAATATTCTGATCTTTTAAACATAATTATAATACATGAGTAAATACAATACCATTTCTAACTTTCTATTTAACAACACTACATCTGTCCTATTGCCCGTGGCTCATTAGAGAGTTAAAGCATTCAAATTCGAACATGCGGCGCTAGCGCTTGACTTCAAAGGCCTTTTTTTGGGACACACTAAGAGGCTGTTTATATGGTCCCACTTACCCGGGATTCAATGAAGTGTAACGTATTTTGATCGAGCAATTGAAATACGTGTTTCAGCACTAAACAAAAGTTAGATAACTTTAAATATTTTTTAAACGACAACATTTTTAATTCAACAACATTTGTTTTTTTGTTTAAGACATGGAATTTCATACAATTTGTAACGAGCAATTTTGTTATATCATGAAGTGCGACTAATTTACATTGCTCAAAATACGCACGTCACACTTCATTAAATCCCGGGACCCGGGGAAGCGGGACCATGGCCCCAACTTAATGGCATGGCGGCGACGTACATAGTTCTGAAATTGCTCAGAACTTCAACTTAACGATACTCCCTATAGGGTATGACATCGTGTTTACAAGTCTGATATATTGGATAAGTTGCAGGAAAGTATGGGTAATATCTTCATTTTTTTGCAGTTTGTCATGGATATTAATGTACCCCGCTTAAAATTAATCAATTAGCCTTTCTCACGATGACGAATATCCGCCATTTTTGGGTGGCATCAAATTTTCATTGTTTTCATTGTTTTAATTGTCTGCATTGGACAATGTGAAAAGCGATAAACTAACCATTTACAAAGCAAATTTACCATCATTCGTCCAAAAAATTATAAAAAGTCGCTGTTATGCGGACCAGGGGCGGATCTAGGATTTTTCGTACGTTAGTCAAAAATTTCGGTGCTGCACATTGGGGGAGGGGGGTACTTTTGACGGGGGTTGTCAAGCAAATTAATATTTTTTATATGTGTTCTGTTAACGAAAAAATGTAACTTAAAAAACAAGGATGACTTGACGTTTTAAAAATTGTTATTTAAAATTAATCGCATATATTTTCCTTTGACATGGATTGTCAAAACATTTTGCAATATAGTGATGCAGTTTAAAACATTTGATTGATTTTAAGCAGGAAGAGAATTTCCACGTTTAATTCACTGCTCCTCGAGTTTCATCCGTGGTTTCATTCGTAGCAGAAACATGCGCCATGAATAAAAATGGCAACACAATGGCAACATGATCCATTTTACTTGTTGTATACATGTTGTAGAGATCGTATTACACAAGGCCATGCTACATAAGGCATTGTCGTGTACTTGACAGTAGTTTAAAATAGGTATAAATAATACAGTGTTATTAAGTAGCTATCTGATTAATATATAAAGTCCACATATCACAAGAAGCATAAACAAAGTATAAACGCGCTGAAACTGCATGTATTAAGCCGCTGCATTTATGTAAATTGATGGAAATATTACGTAAATTTCGTCTCGTATTTATATTTATACGTCTTATACGCGTACTCGCGGCCATAACTCGCCGATGTTATAGCATGTGCGTACAGACGCACAATGAATCAACCACATTATTAGTATACAACAGTTCACTCAGAGTAACATCACAAACATATTATTCACCTGAGTACACAACACCAGCACAGAAAAAAAAAAAATTCATATTACAAGAACACATTGGTATTGAAGGAACTAGATACTGTTCCGAAATATCACTTACTCGAACCGTCCTGACCGCGTAGCTCAATTGGAAGAGCATTGGGCTAGTATTCCAAAGGTCATAGGTTCGAATCCCACCGTGGCCGGGCATATTTTTCAAGCTCGCCCGGTGTGGATATTCACTCAGAGTAACATCGCAAACGTATTATTCACCTGAGTACACAACACCAGCACAGAAAAAAAAAAAAATTCATATTACAAGAACACATTGGTATTGAAGGAACTAGATACTGTTCCGAAATATCACTTACTCGAACCGTCCTGACCGCGTAGCTCAATTGGAAGAGCATTGGGCTAGTATTCCAAAGGTCGTAGGTTCGAATCCCACCGTGGCCGGGCATATTTTTCAAGCTCGCCCGGTGTGGATATTCACTCAGAGTAACATCACAAACATAACAGTTATAATGCTATATCTAGTTAAAATATAATGTATATATCTTAAGGCCGTACAAACGATTTTTGTCTTCTCTAGAACGTACACTTCAGGATGTAAGATTCCGCACCAAAATTTCGTGCGAGGAAGGCTACTTATGTTATTTTATACAACGCTCAATAAATCTTTAATAGAAAGCTTCGGTACACCGTTACTCGTTTGTTTAAATCAGCTTCAATATCTTTGACATTTTGTCGATCGTCATTGTCTAAAGCAGCCTTTACGGTTTCGTAAATACTAACAGACATGGCAAGTATTAGTTAAGAATTTCTGATAGTAAATCTTCCCATTGAACTTTAATAATTTGCGGTCAAGCACAAAGACAGTAGCGATCACAAAGGGCCAGAAACGTCATAGACCTTTCCGGGCACTAATAACGCCTGAACGGTATGATCGATCAAAAAAATCCAGCCAATGGGAATTCAGGATTGTTTTGAATTAGCCAATCGGATGGCCTGTATTCGAGCCCCTGATCGCTTTAGCGATCAGAACTCCCCACAGATCGCGCAAAAATCGAGATAGCCAATCAGATGGCTAGAATCCGACTCAGAGCGTGCAAAACGCATGCGTAAGACCGCTTTTCTGCACGTTCATGTTCGAAGGCCTTGCTACTGAATGATATTTCAAAACTGGACTGTTAGACTTTCAATACATTACACTGCGCGAAGTTTGATAACTGGACTGCTATTTTAATTTAACAATTTTCTATTTTTCTGGCCAATTTTTACCTTAGTCGCATGATCGCTCTGATCACCCCTAGATCCGCCCCTGATGTGGACTTATCGCACAGACTTCAGCTGAAATGCCACCCAAAAATGGCGGCGTGAGAATTGTCAGTATTTTAAGGGTATATTATTTAAATGATAAATAAAGGTCCGCATGATTTTGAAAAAAGAATGATTATTAGCAAATTGGTTTCTTAAAAGAGCAAGTCGCTTACATGCAGTTATTGGGCAGATAACAAAGTAAATTCAGCATAGTTCTATACATCAGGTTTGATATTACTTTATAATTTCTGTCTATTCGGAAGTTTATTTATACAAACTGTCAAACACGTCACTAATTACATTGACATTGTCATTGTAGTCACATCGCGAGTTTAATAAAATCTAGCCCTAATCTCAATGATTTATGCGACTACTTCAGAGAAAACTAAGCACATATACTTCAGTTTGAAAAAAGTAGATAATACGGATTGATTTTACGAGCTATTGAGACTTTGAGTAGTGGATTTAAGCAGGCTATCAATAACTGATCTTTTGTCTATTAATTATTATGTGTCAATTAAGTCACGCGCACGGAGCTTTTGCAACATGATGTTCATATTGACTATTTATTTCTCTAAAATCCCGATAAACAAGCAAAATAATTTAAAATAATTTATAATTTTATCTGTCAAAACCAAATAACAAGAGAAAACAAGTATAAATCCTCACGTTTCGATCCATCTGAGCAGACTGCATGTGTCTAGACGTACTGCCTGTCTATAAGTGTCTGTCTACATAATCGGCTGTATATACAGCAAAAAATCAATTTCTTAAGAAAAATTATTTTCTTAAAATGAGAAACTTATTTCTTAAGAAAAATTATTTTCTTAATTTAAGAAAATGTTTTCTTAAAATGAGAAAATCATTTCTTAAGAAAAAAATTATTCTTAATTTAAGAAAACTGTTTTCCTAAAATGAGAAAATTATTTCTCAAGAGAAATTACTTCTTGATTTAAGATAACTGTTCTCTTAAAATGAGAAAATTATTTCTTAAAAGTATATTTCTTCATTTAAGATAACCCGGTTTTCTTAAAATAAGAAAATTATTTCTGAAGAAAAATACTTCGTATATAATATAGTTAATTCCACATATAACTGTTTTCTTAAAATGATAAGTTATTTCCTCTAACTGCATGCATGCTTTATTAAAACGAACCTCGTTTTTCAACATAACTCATAAGACGTTTTCTCTTGAAAATATATACATTAATTAACCGTTTCTTGATTGATGGAATGATTAATTTCCTCAATGTAAGATTATCTTTCTCAAAATAAGGAAGTTGTTTTTGCAATATTCTTGAATTAAATTATTAAATTGCACCATGCATGCACATGCATATTGCACGATTTTTAATCGTTATAGTTTCTATATAATTTTTTATACACACATGCAATAATTTCAACTGATCAGGTGTCTCTGTTGTTATTCAGACTCCATATTGTAGTATGAATCGCAATCACATGGATCTCAGCATTTTCATAAAAAGTAAAACCATAATAGTTATCTCGCGAGCGGATAAGCCAGAGCTTAAAGGACTCTAGCCTGCGTAAGCCGTTACGCAGGCTAAGGACTCTAGACTTGCTCCAAGTCTCTCTTTCATTGTCATATAGTATCGATCCACTATAGCGTACATTAGATGACGTAGCACGGAATAAGAGGACTCTGGGTAAAGACGCAGCAATTTGAACTTTGATCCTTTGGCGGTTTGTTGGATTTTGGACACCTAAACGCATCTTTACTTGGCCAAATTACTTCTGAAGGCATTGAATGTGGTCAGATACGGCAAGGTAATATTTTTTGTTCATATTTTGTGTATTAGAAAGCCTAGTGTTTTGCAACAACCAGTCGATTTCCCGTCATTGGTTATACATCTCAAGTCTCAATTTTGGACACCTAAACGCATCTTTACTTGGCCAAATTACTTCTTAAGGCATTGAATGTGGTCAGATACGGCAAGGTAATGTTTTTTATTGATATTTTGTGTATTAGAAAGCCTAGTGTTTTGCAACAACCAGTCGATTTCCCGTTGTTGGTTATACATCTCAAGTCTCGACTTGGCAATTCTCATTGCTCGTACATATTTTCTCAACGAAACACAAAAATGGTTGGGTAATAAATACCGATTATTGTCAGTTAATGCTAAAATCTCAATTATACAAACAACATGCGGTTTGGACGTGCATATATTCAAGACGATATTCGAACATGCTGTAGGCCTATATTTAATACTGTATATGCACATGTATTCAAAGTATGTAAAACGACACCAAATAGTGTGCAGTATTCCTGCTTAAATCAAATCTGACTTCGTGTCGACCATTGATATATACTGATTCAAGTATAAACTCGATAGTTCATAGTGTTTAATTGCTGGTACATTAAATTTTATAGGGTTTGATATTTATGATATTACTCTGAGTGTGTATCCACACTGGGCAAAAATATGCCTGGCCACGGTGGGAATCGAACCTACGACCTTTGGAATACTAGCCCAATGCTCTGCCAACTGAGCTACGCGGTCAGATTGATTCGAGTATGTGATGTGACTCTACTTCCTTCGACATCAATGTAATCTAATAATCATGATTTTTTGTGTGTTGGTGTTGTGTACTCAGGTGAATATGATACCGGTATTTGTGATGTTACTCTGAGTGTGTATCCACACTGGGCAAGCTTGAAAAATATGACTGGCTACAGTGAGAATCGAACCTACAACCTTTTGAATACTAGCCCAATACTCTGCAAAAAAATCATGATTATTAGATTACATTGATGTTGAAGAAACTGGACTCAGTTCCGAAATATCACATACTTGAACCGACCTGACCGCGTAGCTCAGTTGGCAAAACATTGGGCTAGTAGGTTCGATTCCCACCATGGCGAGGCATTTTTTCAAGCTTGCCTGGTGTGGATATACACTCTGAGTAACATCACAAATATCATATTCACCTGAGTACACAACACCAACACAAAAAAATCATGATTAGATTACATTGATGTTGAAGGAACTAGACTCAGTTCCGAAATATCACATACTCGAGCCGACCTGACCGCGTAGCTCAGTTGGCAGAGCATTGGGCTAGTATTCCAAAGGTCGTAGGCTCGATTCCCACTGTGGCCAGGCATATTTTTCAAGCTTGCCCGGTGTGGATACACACTCAGAGTAACATCACAAATATCATATTCACCGCAGGACTCATGTTTATAGGGGTTGTTCATATGAGAATGTCTATATAAGGGGTCTGTTTAAATGGAGGCAAGTTACCTGGCAAGGTGAGTTTATATGATACAACCTGGCAACTCACCTTGGCAAGTTCTGGCAGAAGGACACAAAATCTTGCCCAGGTGAAATGACTTATTTTACCATCCATGTAAACACTTTACTCAGGAAAGGTAGAAATTTGTCTTGCATTTAAAATAATAGCTTACAAAATACAAATAAATATGAATCATTAGATATCAGCTTTCCTGAATTTCTTGACATTAATTCTTGTATTATCATTATATTTTGTATGTAATGATTTTAAATCGTTTAAGCGACTTTGTGTTTTGCACAAATTTAATGCTAAGTTTCTGTTTATATGGAATTTGCTTAGCAAATGCTATATAAGCCAATTCCATACAAACAGTAACTTGCCTTGCTTGCACGGCTAACTCACTTGACTTTGTATTTACAGGCCTCAACTATCCGGCAATCTAGCTGGCTAGTTTCTGTGTGAATTGCAACACACAGGACAGGCTATCGCACAAACTAACAAGAAATCCCCCCTGCATTATTGGCAAGAAAAAGGAAGTTTATGTTTATTTGGCAAACTGCTATAGGTCTGTTAATGTCACTAACGTCTTATTTCTTATGCCTACTTATTTCCAACTGAGGGGAGAGAAATAATATCTGGGCTAATTCGGCCAAGTTTATCCATTCCTGTTTTGCTAATTATATAATAATTATATACTGAGTGAACTTTTGCAACATTAGACAGATTTAGATTCAGGATCACAGCCATACGCAAGAATTTTTCACCAGGGGGCAGTAAGGCCTATATGCCGAAAAAAGTCCCAAATATCCAAAGAACAATTAATAATGACATTCTAAAAATCGTAAATATAGTTTTCTTTGGGGGCAGCTGCCCCACTCCATCCCCCCCTCCCACCCGCTGTGTACGGCCCTGTTCAGGATGTGTGATGATGTGAAAATATTGCAGTTTATTTAGCTTCCAGATCTGTCCACCATGCAGTAATTGGCCTTGTCTTGATGTTCACATCTGCAATTTAAAAGCTCTTTTCCA